TTTTTTTTTTTTTAATTACAATTTTCCACTAAGATTACTAATAATACTCTCAAACTCTTCATTTCTGAGATAAATGTGATGTAAACTTATACTTCTCAAAACTCTCAGCATTTTACAACATTTTTAATGGAGTTAACACTGTGGAGTACTATATGTAAAAAAAATTATAACAGTGAGATGTGTCAGAAGTGATTTAAGGTTTTTTTCCCCCCTTAGGTGTTTTTTATTGGAAAATGGGGTTTGGTCACTGGTCACTGCATTTTGGTGGAGGAGCAGGCAAATTTGAAAGGCTTCAGAAGAGGTCAAATAAAATTGTGTATATCTGTGGACTAAAGAGCTGTGGAGGAAAGCTTAGGGTCATCAAAACCTCTGTGTGAATAAAGACCATGGAAGGAGTGATGGCAGAAGAGAATAAAATTCTGTTGAGGGTAGCATTCAAATCAGAACATCATATTTGGCAACGAATGCATTACTTTAAGAGGCATCATCATGGGCTTAAGTGGCATCAGACCCTCTCATGGATCTGTGGAAGGGACCTGGTCTAGTGGAAGGTGTCCCTGCCCATGGCAAAGGTGTTGGAACTGGGTGATCTTTAAGCTCCCTTCCAATCCAAACCATTCTATGATTTACATTTGCCAGTCCTGTCCAGAGGGTGTGTGAGTTGGACCATTTTGGTACAAATGGAATGTTTCTCAAACATTCCCTCTCATGATCCACAGTGAAAAAAAAATATCTTTCATTCAGCATAACAGTCCAGTTGCAGAACATCCTGAGTGAGAGCTCACAACACTTCTGCAGCTTTCTCAGGAGGGGAAGAGGAGGGGCAGCTCTGATCTCTGCTCTGTGTGACCAGGGACAGACCCAGGGAATGGCTGGATCTCTGCTAGGACAGGGTTAGGGTGGATATCAGGCAAAGGTTTTTCCCCCAGAGGGTGGACTGTGAAGTCCACAATAATTGTCTCCCTGATCCTGGGTCAGCAAAAAACCCAATATGCTACCAAAGGTCAGTCAAACCTTCTAAACTGGATTGCCCTTCTAACCCCCTGACCCCAGAAATTCAAAACCTTCATCCTAAATCACCTTTCCCAAAGATATTTGTTTCAATTCTCTCATGGTTTCCATAAATCATAAAAACGCAGTAGCTGTCCAGCAGCATCAGCACGTGATGACTTTCAATGAAAAACTCCCAGCACATGATCTGCCTAATTCCTAAAGCTGCTTTGAAAAGCTAATCTTTGGTGCTTTGCCCTTCTAAAAGGTTTGTCATGGATCTAGTGACAGACATAATGCCATGGTATGAGAAATGGTGCTACCTTCTAGTTTATTTGGAGTTTGCTAATAATTTATGCCCAGTGGGGAAAGAAGAGGATGTATCCACACTCCAGGTGGCCCCAGGTGACCAAGCTGAACCCCATCACTTTGCTTTGGGCTGTTTCTTGGAGGGTGGGGGTCCAGGGTCCTGGTTTTGTATAGGTCCCCCAACATGGGACTGAATCACTGCAGCTCTCCGCATTTTCCCTTGATGCAGTTGCTGGAGATCATTTGGTATCTCTCCAAACACCCTTCCAAATATCCTGTTGTCATTAAAAGCAGTAAATGTGACTCCCCCAGGGACACAGGCTGGATATGAGGGGATGGCTCCAGCTGAGTTTTCCCTGCTGTGAGTGGGTGAGTGAGTGAGTGAGTGAGTGAGTGAGTGATGTTCCCACTGTTCTCTACCCCCTCATTTGGTGGTCAGGACGTATTCTGAGCACACAAAGGGCTTGCTGACAGCCCCTTGTACTGCTCTGAAGGAGTGCTCCAAGCACACTGCTTTCCAGCCGTGACCCCTCCTCTTCTACTGTCTGCAAAGATGTCGTGGCGTGTCCTGAAGAAACCCGCAGAAGAAATGCTGGCCCGCTTCCCACTTGGCCGGGCCGGGCACTAAAGGTTCACTCCTGTGGAATCCCAGGAATCTTCTGCATTCTTTTCCCCCTTCTTTCCAGTCCCCTAATCTGATAAACCGTGTGGGGAGAGGCAAGAGAGGGCGGGGGAGGAGTATGTGACATAACCTCTTATTCTGGCAAAATTGCGCGACAACCCCGCGGTACCTGCGGGGTTTTGGTGGCCGCCGCTGGGAGACTGAGGAAGAAGAAGGTCTGAAGATCCACCAGGGCTATAGGAGACCTGGCAGGGGATGCACTCACCTCCCTTGTGGAGAGGAAAGCCGAGCGCAGCCTGCAGCTCCTTGTTTTGCCGGCTCCACGGGATGCACCTGGAGAAAAGGATGCTCGGAGCCGGCTGCGCTGCTGCGGTGAGTCCGCTCCTCCTTCTGCCTTTTCCCGACGGGTTTGGGGGAAGCAAGGGGAGTGGAATGAGTGTGGATTTTCTGGGGACTTGTAACCGCGTGGAATCCCCGCGGGGTTGACTCAGAGCCCGCTGATAATCGCCGACTAATCTAGGTGCTGGCAGAGTCCACCCGCATTACAAGGGCATGTGGCTCCGGGTCAGGATGGGTGTGACACGTCCCAGGGGGCTCCGGCTTTGTGCCAGAGGAACACCCAAAAAAGGAGGCTGACTGCAAGGATTAACTGCAGGAGAGGAATTTGGGGGTGTCTGTCACCAACACGGTGTTGGGAGTGGGTGTCACAGTCTGTGAGGAGGGGTCAAAGGAGAAAATGTGCTTTTCTCAATGCCAGAAGGAGATGAAACTGGGAGGAAGATGTCCCTGTGTATTTGCTAATGGAAAAAACTGGATCAGGTAGCTCAAGCTGTTGAAACTAACTGCAGAAAAGTGTTTTCTAGGAGAACTTCTAAGTGCCTTTGAAAACATCTCCCTACTACAGGAAAGAAGGGAAGATCATCATAATACGTATGAGTGTTCTACTTTATATACTATATTACAGAATCTATACAAGATAAAACAAAATTAATGTATAAACTGGGGTCTCAGAAAACCAAAGAGCCAGCTCTGTTAACACCTCTGGAGCTGCAGCAGTGCTGAACGAATCCCTAGCTGCCTTCCAGCACTGGGAATATCCAATACTACCTGCAGAGAGGTGCAGTTGTGACACTTGGTGTGTGTCCTCACACTTGGTGAGTGTCATGCCCACACTGCTTTAGGAAAAAACGCCATGTGACTGATTTCCCAATGGTACTGGCAGCTCCCTCCTGGATCTGGCAGATCACATGCAGAGCTTTTTTTAAAGGTGAAAACTCCATGAAATATCAAAATCTGGAAACTAAAGAAGTTATTTAAATTTATAAATAAATAAAATCTGGAAGTGAATCATTGCAAGGGCGGGGGGGGTGTTCTCTTTCTTCCTTTTTTAAAGGGGACTTTGATTCTGGTCTAAAAGTTAAATTTTTAGAAAGCAAACTACTGTCCTTTCAATAGTTGTAGTTCTAAGCCTTTGTCTTAAGAGCCTCCTCAATCCTGACTCAGTCAAGTTCATTTCTTCGCAGAACTTGGGATGGCTTCAACTTGGCAGAAAACTCAGGAATTCTACAACTGGATTCTTGAAAGTGGAGGTAGGTAGAGATGCTGTCTAAAATGGGAATTTCTGCATAAACAGCATGATCATGAAAACCAAGCCTAGAAGGAATGCTATCCTTACACTAGCCCACATTTTCTTCACTAAGCACATTTCCATTTTTCCTTCTCCATGATCACAAACTTCCCTTGAAATATATCTCATTGACCTTCCAGTTGGATCACAGTAAGGGATGAGGGGATTTCCCAGTGGGCTCTGACAAGACACAGAACTTGGTATTGCCTGTTGAGTCCAGAGTATTGAAGGAAGTGATTTTTTTTTAAATGCATTTCCATGTGTCATGGGAAAGCTTAGCTGACCAAAGAGTTAATACTTCGGAGTTCAAACTCCTTGTGATGCCAGGAAAACCTGTTATCCAATTAAATATTGGCAATAACCACTCCTCAGTGCTTGAGATTTGACAGCTTTCAGTGAGGAGACATCAGATATTCAGTAATTAAAGGCTCAATTTGATCCCAAAGGGCTCTGATGTATCCCTGGATGTAAAGAAAAGCCACAAAATGCCACGAAGGTAGAACAGCAGGCTTGCAGGAGGACATGGGGCATGATGTTCAGACTACATAATGCTCAGTAAATGTTTCAGGACTTGAATTTCACAAGAGAGTGTAAACTGGGATTCAGAACTTCTGATGAACTGCGAAATCTTGAAATGGAATATCAAAAGGCTCCTGACACAGCCGATAGAAGCCATCATAAAGAACTGGAAGCTTTAGAAGGGAGGGGGATTAACAGAGTTGTCCAAACTGGTGTGGCATTTATAAAAACATGGAGTTTGACAGCGGTGATTGCACAGGAAAGGAAAGCAGGAATGGTACCTGGGATGTTTTTGCTGATATAACATATCCTGGTGATAGCAGGATTAGGAGGAGGTGGCATGACAGAAAATCTCTTGAGTTTCCCTTTGCTGTAGGACCGAAGAGCTGTTTCAGCAGGGATAAGTGTTTTGGCATTTCCCAGTGAATTCATGTTTCTTAAGAGTGCCCACTCTATGAGATATAAAAAGGAAGGAGTGGAGAATTTCAGATATCCTGAGGATTGCAAGGAAGTAACACCAGTGATTGGTACACTTTTATTATTACCCTGAGCGGCCACTGTTGCTTTGGCTGTTCCTGTGCCTCCCTGCACAGTGTCTGGGATCACTCCTTTCACCTGGGGAGGGCTCCAGCTCATCCCAGGAAAGATCTGCCTTCAGTACTGTAGTCCATACCCACAAACTGGGCTAAAATCTTTGTGCTAAAGCCTTTGGGCAGAGTCAGAGCAGAAGGACTGAGGTGCAATTTTGCAAAGACACAAAGACACCAATTTTCTTTCTGCACGAGTGCACCGAAGGGAAGTAACGAAACACAATTAAACACATCCGCCCTGTGCTGTGTGGAGGTGCCAGCTGTGGTTTTGTTGTTTTGCTTCTCAGATCCAAGGACAGAATCGTGGCCACTGGTCTACTCCCCACTTCCAGTCACCCTGGTCTTCACCTCCTACCTCTTCATGGTGGCACTGGGGCCATCCTGCATGCGGCGGCGGCGGCAGCTGGAGCTGCGGGCTCCGCTGCTCGCCTACAACCTGGCCATGGTGGCATTCTCCAGCTACATGTTCTACGAGGTAAGGAGGCAGGATTGGCTCCTAGCTAAGCACCTGAGAGGGGTTTCGATTCCAGAACCTCCAGAGATTCCAGGGTTTGAGCAGCTTTTGCTGATGGACTCTGCTGAAGGGAGTGGGACGCGTCCCTGTTTTGCCACCAGAGGAGCAGTACTGTCCTGCTGTGCTTGATTTCCTCCCATTTCTCAACCCTCTTGCCATTCAGGAAACTAACACGGGATTTCATTCATCCTGAATGAATGAATTGCAAGGTGAGAATTCCCCATTAGGCACAGAGTGTGTGGAGGATGTTGAATGGCCTCATTTCACCTCGAGTCTGGCTGGTGGCGGATCCATCTCTGAGGATGAGAACCACTGGAGTAGTGGAAGGTGTCCCTGCCTAAGGCAGGGGGTTGGGTCTGGGTGATCTTTAAGGTCCCTTCCAACCCCTTAACATTCCATCTTTAAGGTCCCTTCCAACCTCTTAACATTCTCTCCAGGAGTGCCAAACACTCTCTGTCTTCCTGCTGCTGAGAGTGTTAAGAACATTTTTTCTGCTTTTTCTTAATTCATAAGTCTTTCCACAAGCCTGTTCCCCCTAGTTTATGTAGGCTGCTGACAACTCTTTGAGGGAACATGGCCAAATAGGTTTAAAAAACATTCTGATGCCAGCAAATATGCCCTTTTAATTTGTATCACAAGTGTTACATTAACATGAATTGCTTTTGGGTTTTTTGGGTTTTTTTGAACAAATGCTGCTCTGTCTGAGGACAGGTGTGTTAATTGTTTTTCTGTGCTTGATTGTTCAGTTATACTGGTTACTTGGTACAGTTTTTGGCTTTCCAATGAACAGGCAAATGCAACCTTCCAAAACAGAACAGTCTTGAATCTTTGCAAAGGAGAACAGAGTCTCTCAGAGAGACTCAGAAGCCTAGAATTCAGTATTCTTGCTGAAGTAGTTTTGAGCCCTCCAGTGATTACACAAAGAGTTACAAATATTCCCAGGCCAAATTTGCTTTTTTGGAGATTTCAATCAGGATGTGAAGTATTTTGTTTTAGACTTTTACTCTTTGTCCATGGATTTTCTGTCTGTAACTGCAAGACTGCAACCCTACTACCTTAGCATCAACATGCCCATCTTTTTTGGAACAGGTGGCATTGAAGAGAAAATTGATTTCTATTTTCTTTTTGTTTGTTTCAGTTTCTGGTCACTTCAGTCTTGGCCAACTACAGCTACCTGTGCCAGCCAGTGGATTACAGCCGGAGTGAGCTGGGAATGAGGGTACAGTTCTTGAGAAAGCATGCCTTAGGCCCTGCCCTCCCATTGCTAGGGAGATTCTTTTGCTCATAAATAGAAATTTGCATGGCTAAGAAGGCTTTGACTCCAGTTTTTTGTTGCTTGTAAATCTATTCCACTAAACAGTCTGCTTTGTTTGTTGTGCTTTGCTTTAGTTCTCTAAAATTAATCATCTCAGTCAACTCAGCCATCTAAGTTTGCTCTTTGACCACTGCAGAGACTGTGATCTTACCAGCTGAAGTACCAATATTGAAAATCTATTACTGAAATAGATGTGATTCTTCACATGGATTATAAGTATTCTGGGTGATCTCTTCCAACAAGAAAACTGATTTTTATATCTTCTGCCTTGCATGACAAAAATCTCACTCAACCCTTCTTTTAGCAGAGGGGTTTAGCTAAAACTATTCCCTGGTCATCACTGCAGTGTGGGTCCCAGCAGTGTCAGCTTTCCAAAAATGCTGCATGAGTCTTCTCTCTTTGAATTTGGATTTGAATTTGGAGTTACAATGCCTTACTTTGAACAGATGCAAGCATCATATTATCTTTTCAGTTTTTCAGAGTCTTGCCATCTGGATTAAAAAAAAAAAAAAAAAAAAAACAAAAAAAAAAACCCCACCTTAATTTCCCCCCGCCTCTTGCTGCAGACCCCGGGTGGGCAGGGATACAGCGTGGTTGAAAATGTGTTTATTTGATTTGATTTTGGCTAAAGCTCTAATCGCCGTGCCTTGTGCTGCCCAGCAGATGGCAAGAGTGTGTTGGTGGTTCTTCTTCTCCAAAGTCATTGAGCTGCTGGATACGGTAAGGAGGGCTCAGCTCCTCAGGGGGACCGGGGCTGGACACTGATACTTCTTTGTCAGAAAGTGCCAGAACTGATGTCCTGGGTTGCTCCTGTATTGATTCACTGCCTGCCTCCATCCCTTGGCTGCACATACTCCCTCCCCAGCACCCTTCCTGAGGCTGAGCACAGTGCTAGGGGAGAGGCTTTACCCCTGGCTGCTGCCAAGTGGGTCCCCAAAATTTTAGCTGCTGGTGCCACACACGTTCTGCTATTGCCGGGCTGGCTGATTAACAGCGGGGCAGAAAAGGATCTGGACAAGTCCTGGCATCTCTGCTGCCATGGATTTTCCCGGAGGTCTGCACTAAATGTTTGTATCCTGGGGGAATTGAAAGTCCACCTCTTTACAGCTTGTCTTCAGGTGTCCTTCTGCAGTGTAAATGAACTAAGTGACTGGACAAGGCCTTTGCTTGGCCAGCAGAAGACAGCTGTGTCCTAGCCTGAAATTTCACAGCTCTTTGGGGTGTAAGTTAACCCACTGAAATGTGAATAAACATGTGGATCCTTCCTAGGCCTATTGCCAGGTTTTTGGCCAATCCCCTCTCTGTTTGCATCAGCAACAAAAGCAGCTTTTTGCCAGTCCTGAGCGCCTAAAAAGTAGATTCACTTTTTGTTTTGTGTGTGTATGAATGTGCATGGTGAAATGCAATGACCTGACACTTAATTTATCTGGCAAAATCATTCTCTTTATGAATGCAAATTCCAGGAGGGTTTCACCATTCAAGACACTGGATTTTCTGTGGGTTATTGTCTGGTAGCAGTAAATATTCAGCCTATGTCCTGAAAAGGAGCAGATCCAAGCAGCTGTGAATTGTATGGAAGCTCAGTCAGAGTCTCAGACGTGTCCTCTTTGGACTCTGGGCCCTGAATCCAGACATAAAAATATTTGGGGCTTTCTGGAAGACATTCTGTCTTCCAGTTCCCCCTGTAAGTTCTATCGCATTTCACCAGTTTTTTGTCAACAGCAGAGGAAATGGTTTTGGGAGATTCAGACTAATCATTAACTATTTTTATAACTTTTCACTGTGAAATTTTTGTCTAAACACATTGACTCAAGGTTTTCCTTTGCCTGGCTTCTTTCAGGTTTTCTTAATTCTGCGCAAGAAACAAGAGCAGGTGACTTTTCTGCACGTGTACCATCATGGCTCTATGCTCTTCAACTGGTGGTCAGGGGTCAAGTACGTGCCTGGAGGACAAGGTATGCTTGTCAGAAATGCTGCTGCAAGAAAACCTTATGTTTTGCATGGCTTTTTGAGGTAGCACTAACAGTGCAGATGAGATCCCAAGTGGAATGTTCATGCACAGAGGTGAGTGTGGTGTATTTTGGAAGCATCATCATAGTGGCTGCGAGCCCTTCACACCTTCCTTAGCCTGGAATAGGTGGTGTGCCTTGTTCACCCTCACTTCTTCACTCCTCAGCCTTCTTTGTTGGGATGCTGAACTCCTTTGTCCACATCTTCATGTACGGCTACTACGCCCTGGCCAGCCTGGGACCGCGGATGCACCGGCACCTGTGGTGGAAGCGTTACCTGACCATCCTGCAGCTGGTAATTAGCTCCAGGAGTTCACCCCTGCCCTCCCATGGCTCAGGTGTGATGGCCCCTGCTGTCTGTCACCTCACTGCCTCCATCTGCTTGCTGCCCACCGAGGGCAGCACGTCCCCAGGTTCAGTAAATATACAACCTATGTCCTGAAAAGGAGCAGATCCAAGCAGCTGTGAGTTGTATGGAAGCTCAGTCAGAGTCTCAGAAGTGTCCTCTTTGGACTCTGGGCCCTGAATCCAGACATAAAAATATCTGGGGCTTTCTGGAAAAAACTCTGTCTTCCAGCTCCCCCTATAAATTCTATTGCATTTCACCTCACGTGCCACTCCGAGAGGTGAAGCCATGAGTGACCTGCTCCAAATGCTGCTTTCACAAGATTATCAGGGGCCTTCAGTGACCGTATCAAACTCATTATCCACAGCTTTGTAATGGGAGGGAAAGAGAAAAATTAACAATTGGGTTCCTCGTTTTTATGTTGTATATGGAGCACTGAAAATGGACCTTGATGTGGAGAGGTGAGAGCAGTGGTTTAGGGAAACTTTGAATTCTCAGTGGGGCAGCAGCAGATTGGGGAGCCTTGATTCAGTTCCTTGAGAAAGGGAGGGGGTCTCTAACTGCAGGCAAACAGGCAAGTTAAAGAGAAATACGTGAATTTTACACTTTCTCCAGAAATTCCCTTTGGATTTTCTCTCCCTCATCCCTCAAATCTGGGGGGAAACCCCATTTTTTTTGAAAGATGCCTATGGTCCAAATAAATGCATCTTTTAAATAAATGCAATGGTCCAGACAAGGACAATGGTTGTAGGAGAGACTTTTCTGCTCAAAGAGAGGCTTTGCAAACCAAAAGTATGCAGTTACAAGGGAAGGCGAAGAAGATATGTGTAAAATATGTGCAGTGAAGGCTGCTCCAGGATTCTCACTTAGCCTGCAAAGCAGAACAAGGAAGCATTGCATGAAATAAAAAGGTATTTGTAATGCAAATTATAGCACAGGAAAAAAAATATTTAATAGCTCTTTGGTCGGTAGAACTCATTGCTTCAGGGTATTGAGACAGGTGACTTAGTGAAATACAAAAAAAGTATTAGTATTGAATGCTTAAATTATTAAATATAGTATCTGTGGTTCTTCTCTGCAAGTTAAAATACAAATCAAAATAATTATGGGTATAATAACTTGATTGTGACTGGAGAAGAGGAATCTTCCACCATCAGTTTCCATATTCCAGCATCTCAGTTACAGCACTATGGCAGATAAATGAGCCAAGGGCAGGAGAGGCTGGATTGGTTAAACCTCCAGGTTTGATGGACATCTTTCCTTCTGGGAAAACACTGCTAAACTTAAAAGGAAGGTTACCAGGGATGTCAGGAGAGGCAAGCAGGTGATCCTGTGGGTTGATGCCAGGATGTTGTGATAGGTGTGATGGTCTCAATGGCCAACTGAGGTGTATCTCATGTAGGTTTCCTAATCTGCTTCTTTTTTCCACCTCTTCCAGTGCCAGTTTGTGGCCATCGCTGCTCATTCTTCCTACAACCTCTTCACGGAGTGCCCGTTCCCTGATGGCTTCAACACCGCAGTCTTCCTCTACATCCTCAGCCTCCTGGCTCTCTTCCTACACTTCTACTATCAGACCTATGTCAGGGGAAAGCAGGAAAAGCAGACTTGATGGAAATCAAAGAGGACAGAGAGCACAGCCTGATGAACATGAGCATTCTCTGCTGCTTGTGACGTGGTTTCAGGAAGAAAATATATCTGGGGAGAGTGTGCGAGGCTCATGACTTGTCTTCAAATATCCCTGGTGAGGGAGAAGAAAGAATGATGTAAACTCAGGGATTAAGGAACTGAGGAGCACACTTAATTAAGATGAGGCCAAGCTAAGCCAAGTAATTACCAGCAAAGCAGGCTCTGGGACATTTGCAAGACAAAGTCCTTTTCCCTTCCATCTTTAACTTGGTGTCCAAGGTCTAGCAGCCAGCTACAACTCCCTGCTTCATTTCTTAGCATCCACAGAATTATCTCAGCTTGGTGTTGTAGGTCAGGCAGGGTCATGTGCCTCCAGCCTGGAAATCAATGTCCAGGTAGCAGCAGCAGCCAGGAATCCATAGGAACTGCAGGTGGGACCTGCATCCCACCCTGTCCTGCTAAAGAAGCTCCTACTAGGCCTGGGGTTGTCCTGAATGGTTTAACTTCTTATCAGGATAAGCAGCAAGGAAATTAGACATTAGGTTGTCTGGCTGGGCAGGTGTATTCACTGTCCTGAAACTAAAGAAGGCATTATTAGCACTTTCATGCTAACAAGAAACCAGTGAAGTAAGTCACCATGTCCCATTTTCTGGAATGCTTATTTCCCTTTGGTTGCTCTCATACCAATGGAACATTTTAATGCATGAAGATACTTCATATTGCTCCTTGTAGATGTCATAATTGAATTAGAAAGAACAGATTGATGTTCCCTACTCATAAGTTTTTTTCTCCATTTTGTTATTATTTTTAATACTGTTATTTTTAAATGTTGCTTCTTGTCAAACATAAAGAGTTTAACAACACCATAAGCAACCACCTCCACTACCTAATTGTATAAGAATTAATACGAAATGTATAAAATCAATTCATTGGGTAGCACAAAGCTGCATAGCTCCATTGATTTTAAGACATCACTAATTGACTTTTTTTTTTCTCCTAAATCAATTACAACTAGAATTTAGCACTTATATTCATCTGCAGACTGTTAAATACTGTTAAAATTTTGATGTGGTAGTACTTTTAAGATCCTAATTAAACTACCAAGTCGTAATTACTGATTGAACCCTGCTCAGCTGATTAAAACTGGTACTACAGAGTAGTGGTATTTTGTGAAACACAAAGGTGTTGAAGGAGAGGGTTGGAATTAGTGATGATGCATTGCCATTGCCAAACCAAATCCACCTCAAATATAAGGAATTCCAACTCCATTGGGAACGTCCAGAGGACTGGAGCTGGCCTGAACCTAGCAAATGGATCTACCCCAAAAGACCTGTGTGCCCTACAACAATCTGGAGTCGAGTGGCTACAAAAAAATAAATTCAACTTGTTCCTCACTGCTCTGTGTTCATACCCCAATCCTTTCCTTCAGTCCCTCCACACACATATGGAAGATATAACAATATTCTGGCATTCCTCACCCTCCTGCCCTTCACACACAGTCACAAAGGACTTGTTCACACTGTCACAAGGACACATCGTAAATGTCTTTTCTTTGATTTGAGCAGTCTCTCTTCTGATTGTCACTGCATCTGTGCTAGTTGGTTTTCTTCATGTCAACTACTTTTCCATGCTAATAAATTAATAAATAGTGACACTTTGGCATACTGGAGTTGTTCTTCTGTCAGAATTTTAACTAGCAAATCCTTGGGTGGGTCCTTCATTCCTCCCTTTGTTTGGAAAGACAAGAAAACAGGATCTGCTGTGTATCTAACATATTCATGTGGAAGGTTTCCCCTGGGGGCTCTCCAGAGCTGAAGACTCAGTGCAAGTAAAGCTGTTTCATTACTCCAGTCCACCTAATGATTCATGTACTGCCCTCTCCTGCTTAAACCATCAGTACCTTTGGCCTCCTAGTTTTGTGGTAGAGCATTTCCTGCAGCTGGCTAAATTATCTGTGCTCACTAAGCAATCTAAAGCTCTTTTTCCTATACATGAGTAGGTTTCAACCTCAGTTTCCCCTCACTTGAATGTTATCAGAATGTAGTAACTAAGTTCACTCATAATTTTACACCAGAATAAACTCAATGTATTTTGATTTTCCTTGACTCATGACTGTTTAAAAATTGAGCAGGAAATGAGCACGAAATCTGGATGAGATTACTCCTTGCTTTTCCACTCTTAAAATACATGAATTTCTAAACATGCCATTCACCTGTTTTTTAAGGCAGCCTATGCAGCTTAATTTGTGTCTATGTGTGACCTAGCAATAGATTCTGGAGTGCCACTGGCCACAAAGGTGGTAACAAAACATGAATTTACAAATCTGACACCCGACAGCTTGAAGTGACTGATCACCTAAATCAGACACAGATGTCACCACTTGTTCTAGACATTAAACCTCTGCTTTACCTGATCTTAGAATGAGTAAGAGCTTTTTGTTGGTGTGACTTCGATGGCACAGGATGAAAATGAAGTATTTTCAGTTGACTGATAAGGAGGGATTGAGTTTGCCCATAAACATCCTTCTTTCCATATAGGAACAGACATTGGCATGGAGCACAGCTTTTACAGAAGCATTGATGCAAGCAAAATTCACTTGTGAAGGTATTTGCACTGGCAGTGAAGAAAAAAACCAAGCAGGTTACTCCTTCAGATTGCCCTTGCTTGCCTTCATTCTTCTGTTTTAAAATTTGGTTGTCCCACTTGGAACCGTCTACCTGGACCACCCTGTTGTGACAAAAAACCTGAGAGCACAGCTATGTGCTCCTGGAATTTAACAGAGAATAAAGGCACTAAAATGGGATTTCCCCCTCCAAAATCAAGTCCCAGGAATTAAAGATTACACCACAGCAAAGCGCCGGAAGACAAAAGGGGAAGGAAATTATAAATTGCAAGCTTGGACGGCTCATGCTGCCTGGTGGAGCCCAAAGCTTTGAGGATGGGTTGAAAATATCCTGTCACAGCTGGTTTTGTGAAAAAGCTCTGGGCCAGATGCTGGTTCTACCAATATGAGTGCCAAAGGCTGCTCTGGAAGGAGGCTGGCTCAGCTCCACAGCGTGTTTGCTGGGAGCAGGAGTGTGATTCAATCCCAACAGGTGCCTTTGAGGGCACAGGGGTGTGTAAGTCTCCCCCTTACAAACTGTGGGTCATTAGATGTTCCTACAGCAGTTTGCATGAGCAAGATGTAAAGCATAATGCAAGTAGGCTGCTGAAATGAAGAAGCTTGATATCTGGTAGTCTCAGCATCTTTCCTGCTGTTCCAGTCAATGTAAATTATGGATGTTCTGATCAAATTACTTTTGAATTAACCAGACCATTTACTCAGTGCTTACTTTCTCTCTGAAGATAAATGAGAGGGATTCTCATTTTAATCAAAACAAAATACAGAAAAGAAAATCAATTACTATTTAATGTTTTTTCCATCCCTGTGTGATGGAAAATTTCCAGAGGAACTTGGGCTTAAATTGCAAAGCAATATAAAATGCAGGGACATGGTTAGGTTTTAGCTATTGGATTTTTTTATGTACTATCAGAAAACACAGCTGTGTTGTTTGTTTGTTTGTTTTTTTTAAAGGCAAAAGAATTACTTTAAGCAATTAAACAAGCAAAAGCAGAATACAGTAGATTGCTTCACCCAGAAAATAAAAATCTTTCAATACAGATGCAAACCACCTAGAAGCCAAACATTTAGAAAAATCAGCCAGCTCTATATATAGAACAGTGTGAATGTGCTGAACTCATTAATGAATAGCTTGGTGGATTAGGGCTTGATAGATGGAGTGCTCCATCCAGATGTTTACTGTGATTTCTCAATGGCCTGGTACTTAATCCTCCTGGACAGGAAATACGAGTCTTTGCTCTAGGGTCTCGCCTGGGGACTGTGGCAGTGCCTCTCTCTGGCCTGAATCATCTCAGCTGCCGAGGAATTATCCAAGTGGAGGAGGCACGGATTTGCCTTTAACCCTTTCGGTTTCCTCTCAGCTTCAGATGATTTCCTCACCATCTGCCACAACCTCGAACTTTCCAATAGAAAGAAAACAAATCATTCTCAAAGTATAGTTAAAAATATTTGCTTGGCTTTGGGTTTCTAAGCAGTTGTTCAGCTCAGTTCAGGCAAATTCGGTATTGACACCATTGCAAATAAATACATAATTTCTATTGGTTTATAGGGCAGTAAAGTATCTGCTTTCTAATGATAGGTACTGCTGCCAAACACATGGAAAAGATAAAAAGGGAGTCACCCGTGTCACCCCGGGGTTCCTGTACCCACAAAACGTGCCGAGGGAGGCACATGGGGAGAAGGAGGGCTGTGGGCAGCCTCCAGAGCTTGGTGTGCCCCACTTCACTGCTCAGCATCATATTTTCCTTTTTGTGACGCTGCCACTCCTTGTCAGCGACAGGGATGGCACAAGAGGCAGTATTTGTGAGAAGATTGATGTCCCCAAGGTGTCCTTGGCCGGGGTACCAGAGGGTGTATTGTGTGCATGAGTTTTGGTGTGGGTAGGTGAATGCAGCCCCTGCAGACCGTCCCCACGGCTCATTTCTCAGCATGTGGGACCTCTCCATGGGATGGGTCTTTCATCTGGACACTGAAGGACAGCTCCCAGCAGCCACACCTGCCATGGAATGGCACAGTGGGAGCTGCAGTCAATGCTAGGTTTTGCTGTGGATACACAGGACTGTAAAAGACTAATTTCCTATGTTCAGGGTAGAAAATACTTCTGGGTAAACCACAGGTATGTGGACAAATAAATTCTTTTCAGGAACTGCCTGGTTAAAACACTAGTAGCACATCTCAGCACTACTCTTCCCTAGTCTGCATGTCATCCTTTCTCTCCAGTACCTTGGCTTTCTGCTGCTTTTCAAGAGCATGTTCAGAATCTTTACACTGAGCTGAAAAATTTAGGGCTATTAAATAAAAATTGTCCTTTAAAATTCCCTACTTGGAGTAGATGTTCCCCTTTAACATCATCCTCCCTCTTTCTCTTGTCCCTTTTCTCTGCTCTTCTTTTGTACCCACACTAACAGACACCATAATAGATTCTCAGACCTTTTAAAGCTACAAAGAAAGTAGCTACAAGTTACTCAAATGCTGTATAAGCAGCTGCATTTTTCTCATCTACCAATTAATAATGTACATTTTCTTCATAGGATTTTATGAAAGGCTTTCATCCAAGTGAATTTGGGCAAGTCTTTATTTTTCTTTGCACTTCAGCATAATTCCATCTACCTTCAAATTCAGGATGTGAACACTGCAACTTGTTACTTAGAAAAACTAGAAACTTGAACTAGAACTTAAATTCTGTATGGTCCCTCCCAGGCATTCCCTGCTATTGAGGAAGGAATGGCAGAATGGATACAAACATCTGAGAGGCAGCAAATTACTGCTCTTCTGGTACACTTCATTCTGCTCTGAGTGGTGCCCACCATCACAGATGTCTGATGATGTTTTCTCCTGAATTAATAAATGGTTATTCCCGAGGCAATGTTTGGAGGGAGGATGCCTTGCAATTACAGGAGCTGACAGAGCTGGAAAACCAGAATAGTTTTCAAGTGTGCAAGCCCTACTCTGCTTGCAATCCTTGATACGCACTGGAAGCAGATCAGCCACTCCTTATTGGGGTGCACAGCTGTGTATGTGGTGTGCCTGTATTTATTGTGGGCTTTCCTAGTCCCACAGGCTGTTATCTACATTTTGCAGGTTTAATATGTTATCCCACTGAATAACTGTAAATCAAAGGTCTGTTATTTTCAAAGAATAACTTATCTTCTACATAATTTTACTTCTAGAAATTACTGGTGTGAGTAAAGCTGTCCTTTATTCACTGGCACAGTGGCAATTCTGAGCTCAGTTCTTGAAGATAAAATGTAAGCCACCATTTACAGAAACCTTTTAATACAATTATGGTTTTCTATTTTGGCATTGCTTTTAATATCTTTGGGCAGATTTCATACACAGAGGTAATGTTTTAAATTAGGGGAAAGCCACTAGTCACAGTGAATCTAGGTGGAGTGTTTGATGGAGCTGTGAGTAGTAACATAAGGATTTAGGAAAAAATGTCACTGTGATGCCAACTGGAAGGCAAAATGGTCACAATCAATTTTGTTAGAAAACCAGAAACGCCACAAGACTGGAGTGGTGTATACATACTTATAGGTTCTAATCCTACAGTATTTATATACATATTTAGTGTGTTTCCCTGCAGACATTGAGTAGAATAGATGGCTTGAATATAGCAAGTAAGATTTGAGCATTGACTGTATTACTGAACTGTAATTGAAGTCATTGTGTAAAGCTGCTCGATCCTCTCTAATAAGATGTGCATCTACTGAAATGTTTTAGCCTTGGATGTGGGTTTAAGAATGCATCAATGGGAAAGTGTTCGCTAATTTTAACATGAAAATAGCACAGCAGAAATATAGTTTTCTGGCTTGGGAAGCACCTTTTGGAGCCGCACTAATTCAGCGAGGGACTCAAGGGAGCAGAAGCAGGGAGAGCAAACGCAAAGCGGAAAAATAAAATACCCAATCCCTTCCTTTGTTCTTATTCCGCTGGGGAATGGGGAGGGGGGGGAGGAACACACGCCACGAGGAGCCCGGCATCCCCGGGGCTTTCAGTTCTTATTTTCATTAGAGGTGAGCGGGGCTTTGCAGCCAGAAGCGCTCGCTGCGAGCAAATCCACGCGCGGGGGCCGCTCCGTAATCCCCCGGCGCGGCTGCTGAGCGGAGAGCGCTGCGCCCCGCGCCCGGGGCCGTCCCCAGCAGGGGCCGGAGGGCATCCCCAGCCCCCTGCCCGGGCGCACGTACCGCCGGCACCTCCGGAGCGGTGTCCCCGGCGCTCATCCCCCGCCCGGGCACCCGCGGGGATCCCCACGGCCGCGCCCCGCAGCCCCTCGGCGGGGCGGGGCGCAGGGGGATGCGGCATCCCGGCTGGCCCGGGGGATGCTGCCGCTGCCTGCGCGGGGGCGCGGAGCAGGAGGGATCCTCTTTGACGTCAAGCGACCATAATATAATGATCGCTCGTTCATATCCGGGTCCCCGGGCGGCTCCCCCGGGCCGCGCTCGGCCGCGCTCGGCGGCGCAGTGAGGGGAGGAGGGTCGGGCAGTGCAGGGCAGGGCAGGGCAGGGCAGGGCAGCCCGGAGGTGGCCGGCGGCGGCAGCGGCGCGGCGAGCGCAGCATGCCCGCCGCTTCAGACGCTCCTGCCTGCCGCCGCCGCCGCCGCCGCCGCTGCCGCTGCTGCCCATGGAGATCGCGCTGGTGACTCTGGAGAACGGCGGCACCGCGGCCATCGCGGGCGGCGAGGATGCCGCCGGCGGCCGGGCGCGCTGGCGGGGCAACTTGCTGCACCTGGCCGGCTCGCCGCAGTTGAGCGACGGCAAGGACGGCGCCCCGCCGGCCCCGCCGCCCGCGGGGGACGAGGAGCCGGAGCGGCCCCCGCCGGGTCCCCGCGCGGGCGGCCCCGGGGAGCGGGCGGCGGAGCCCCGCGCAGCCCCCGCGCCGCCGCCGCGGCCGCCGCCCCGCGCCCCGCGCCCCGCCGCGGACTCGGGGCCGTCCGAGGAAGGGGGACACCGCCGGGGCATGGCCATGGCGGCGGCGGGCGACGAGGAGGAGGAGGCAGCGGCCAACCCGGGCGCCATGCACCACCAGCGGGTGCTGATCAACATCTCGGGGCTGCGCTTCGAGACGCAGCTGGGCACCCTCAACCAGTTCCCCGACACGCTGCTGGGGGACCCCGACAAGCGCATTCGCTACTTCGACCCGCTCCGCAACGAGTACTTCTTCGACCGCAACCGGCCCAGCTTCGACGGCATCCTCTACTTCTACCAGTCCGGGGGCAAGCTCCGCCGGCCCGTCAATGTCTCCATCGACGTTTTCGCCGACGAGATCCGCTTCTACCAGCTGGGTGAGGAGGCCATGGAGCGCTTCCGGGAGGACGAGGGCTTCATCAAAGAGGAGGAGAAGCCCCTGCCCCGCAATGAGTTCCAGCGCCAGGTCTGGCTCATCTTTGAGTACCCCGAGAGCTCCAGCTCAGCGCGGGCCATCGCCATCGTCTCCGTGCTGGTCATCCTCATCTCCATTATCACCTTCTGCCTGGAGACCCTGCCCGAGTTCAGGGACGAGAGGGAGATGCCCATACCCCTGCCCCCGCAAGGTGGAGGTTTGAATGGCACGCCCGGGGACTCCCCACCCATGCAACCACCCAGCAGCCTGGCTGACCCCTTCTTCATCATCGAGACCACCTGCGTGATCTGGTTCACCTTCGAGCTCCTCGTGCGCTTCTTCGCCTGCCCCAGCAAGCCCGAGTTCTCCCGCAACATCATGAACATCATCGACATCGTGGCCATCATCCCCTACTTCATCACCCTGGGCACCGAACTGGCCCACGAGCAGCAGCAGCCCGGGGCTGGCAGTAGCAATGGGGGCGGGGGCCAGCAGCAAGCCATGTCCCTGGCCATCCTCAGAGTCATCCGCCTGGTCAGAGTCTTCAGGATCTTCAAGCTCTCCAGGCACTCCAAGGGGCTGCAGATCTTGGGACAGACTTTGAAAGCCAGCATGAGGGAGCTGGGCCTCCTCATCTTCTTCCTCTTCATCGGGGTGATCCTCTTCTCCAGCGCTGTCTACTTTGCTGAGGCTGATGACCCCGAGTCTCATTTCTCCAGCATCCCTGATGCTTTCTGGTGGGCTGTGGTAACCATGACTACTGTGGGCTATGGGGACATGAGACCTGTCACCGTGGGGGGCAAGATTGTGGGCTCCTTGTGTGCCATCGCGGGTGTGCTCACCATTGCCCTGCCTGTCCCTGTCATCGTGTCCAACTTCAACTACTTCTACCACCGAGAGACTGACCACGAGGAGCAGGCTGTCCTCAAAGATGAGCACAGCAGTGCTCAGGGCAGCACTGCGGGGGGAGAAGTGAAGAGGAGACCCAGTAAAAACTCTCTGAACAAATCTGTTGTGCACTTGGAAAACAGTGAGGAGTTCAACAATGGCACCAGCTCCTTAGAGAAAGCCAATATCAAAGCAAAAAGTAACGTAGATCTCAGAAAATCCCTCTATGCCCTCTGTCTGGACACCAATAGGGAAACAGACCTGTGAGGAGAGGAGACAGTTAGAGTTCAGAGGGGCAGAAGGATTTCCAGGTGTCAGAAATTTGCTACTATAATTATTCTTTTAGTACCAATTAGTTTTTTAAGTCAGGCTGTATTTTATAAATTGATCGCTGTCCTGAGCAGTCCTCCAGGAATACATGTTTTTATGTTCTTTTTCCATGACACAAAGGGTCACCTATTTTTAAAATAGACTAAGAATATGCTACACTCCGTGATGCAGGAGCCGGTAAATTGTGACAGTGAAAAATCTAACTTGTAGAAACTTTTTTAGCAAATGGTCATTGGTTTTGAATGGGTCATTTGTAACCAATTCAGTTGCTCCGAGTTTAGTGTAAAAAACCGGGTGGATGTGTGTGTGTGGAGAATGAATGGCTTGGGGATGGGAGGGGGGAGGTTGAGGGGTTTTGTACTGTAGTTTCAAATTGAAATTATTCAAATATATTTTGTATCTGTATGACTGTATTTATGGTTGAAAGGAGATTTCTTATTCCTGTGAAATATGATATCATTAAAGCACTAGGAACATTAGCAAATCAGCACTTTCTGAGTTTTCCACTAGTGATCAGTACAGATCTGGTTATTTTGTATGTGAAGTGAATTTGGTGCTTTGAACCCTAGAGCAGAAAACTTCTGTTGTCATTGATATGTTAGTTTCTTGTGAGCCTTAAATTATTAAATATTGTAGATATACTTCTTTATAAATAATTTTATTAGTTACCTTCCTGTTTCAGAATTTATGAGTAACTCAGTCATGTGCTTACTGGCCCCATTCAAAAAAGTATGTGCAGCTTTTTTTTTTTTTTTTTTTTTTTTTTTTTTTTTTTTTTTTTTTTTTTTTTTTTTTTTTTTTTTTGTGGTTTTACAGTTTTGTATCTTTGTTATATTTTCGAGACCTAAAGGAAAAAAATGCACTGTCTGCTGTTACTGGTTTCAGTCCAGTGCACAACGGATCGGAAGTGATCTGAACAGATTTTCAAGTGCACAACAGATCAAAAACGTGAGGGAGTGGATAGGCAGAATGAGAAAGTAGAATATTGAGTGCAATATCTGCAGAACTGTTTTCATGGTACACTCCAGATTCCCTGAGCGTGTGAATCAGTCACCTCTATGTATGCACACACCATTTGTGTACGCAGTTCTCTGGTTTTAGTTCTCTCAGACCGGGAGTGGATGGCACTTCAGGAGTTGAACGTGGCCAACAACCATTGCCTGGCTTTTCTCTTGGACACGGATGGAAAGCACCATCTTTTCATCAAAACACACCCCTGGTTGCTTCAATTTCCAAACAAAACCTCAGTGCTGTGGATTTTACAATTGAGGTGTTGCTGAGAGAAGAGTGACACATTGCCTTCATCAGGATAGCAGCTAACTCTGAAGACCGACACAAAGTTGCTCCTTTAGCCCAAAGAGCTTTTTACAATTTCTCTTGCAAAGGACATCTCTGTTTCCCCCTCCAGTTTCTGTTGTATTGCTGAAGGATGTTCCATGCCTTTCCCACGTCCCGTGGCACAGCAAGAGTAGCAGAGAAGAGAGTGCTTAATTGTCAACATCGCTCAAGGTTTGTTTCTGACAAATTTTCTAATATAAATAAGTGCTCAGTTGGGATTATAATTTATTCAAGTACCTCACCTATGCCTTGAGATAAATTGAGATCAGCTTTACAGAGCAGCGCTCTGACATCCTCTCCCCTAGACACAAATGCTGCTTTCCCGTCCCTGACCCTGCTCTTTAATGATACTGCCCAAATGCATGATGATTTTTTCTCTCCTGGTCAGTAAAATAACTGCCAAGCAAGTCATACTGTTCATGAATAGAGTGCTCAGCCCAAAACCCAGGGCTGAGGGGAAGGAATTGGAATCTCATAAGAGAGAACAGCATCTTTCGCATTAATTTTAGAATTTTAGATGTTGGTTTCTTTGGTTTGCTTGTTTATTTAGATGTGGAATGAGGCTGTCATGTGCTGAGGAGCTGTCTGAAACAAGGCTGACAGGAAAAGAGCCCAGTGCAGCTGCACTCCAGACTCGGGGAGATCTCCACTTTGCCTTGGTGGGAGTTGCTGCACCAGTTGTTGCAGAATCAGCTCTTTGGTGAGGCTGAATCTCACATGAAACAAAGTGGGGTATCTCTGCTGCACATGCTAAGACCTAGGTCACTGATGGACTTAAAGTAAGGCTTTTTGCTCAGACCAGTGCTTTGCTTTGCTCTCAGTGACCACATCCATCTGACTCCCCTGAATAAGCACCAAATAACTGCAGTGAGTCTTTCAGGATGAACTTTTGGGGTGGTCTTTCTGGAACTGCTACCCCCACCTGCCTGAGCACCAGAGTTTGGTCCTCCAGATGTGAGTTGTGTTGGATTGGGCTGTCAGCTGTTCAGAGCAGGGGCACTGTGTCCACACAGCCACTTGTTTGGAATCCTGTGTGAGGATTTTAGGGATCTGGATTACATCTCTGTAGTGAGTGCAGCAAGCTGATGTAGGTGAAAGCAGATCAGGGCTGTGGGGCATGGGTCAAGCTGATCTTGGTGACACATAGGGAAGGCCTGGTCTTCCTCCCTCCTTTTTTACTCTTTTTCTTCCCACCATGTGTCTTTTTGTTGCTTTCACTGAACTGGTTCTCTCCTCATGGAAGTACAAGTTCAAGTGCTGCCTTCTCTTCCTGGAGCTGCCTGAGCTCACTCATCTGGCAGGAAATTAAATTCGGGATTCTCTTTGAATATACTGTGTTTTTCCATAACAAAACAACAGAACTTTCCAATAGAAAGAAAACAAATCATTCTCAAAGTATAGTTAAAAATATTTGCTTGGCTTGGGCTTCTAAGCAGTTGTTAAGCTCACTTCATGCAAATTCGGTATTGACACCTTTACAAATAAATACATAATTTCTATTGGCTTATAGGGCAGTAAAGGATCTGCTTTCTAATGATAGATACTGCTGCCAAACACTGAGTAATGTGACCAGGACATGGTTGGAGCCCAGTTTAACAGATCATTTAGCACAGATACATGCTTAAACCAACACAATTTTCAGCACGTGTTTTAGATGCACTGATTTTTATGATTTTGAGGTTTGAGATCCTGAGTGGGACTTGGATGTCCCTTGTGGATACCTTCCAGCTCCAGATATTCTTTGATTCTCTGATGGTTATTTAAAGATTAAGTTATAAACAGGGCTGAAACCTTGGAGCCATGGGGTAAATATGTGGGTACATGGTACAGTCACATAATGTGCTGATGCAAATTTGTGCTGCTGAAGAGTGTGAGAGTAAGAGAAAACTGAATCCCTCCAAGAAGGTTCCTGGAAATGTGAGACAGGAAGAGAGTTTTCTCTTCCAGGCCCTAATACACCCTAACTAACCACTATTGATTTTATGTTAGCTGACCTGAAATGAGCAGCAGGCTGAATCAGACCTCTTTGCCATATCAAAGGCATCAAGATATCAGAACTTAATGAATAGCAAATCATTGCAGACATCAAAAACCCCAAACAAACCCAGCCAAACAACAAACCAACACTTTTCTGTAGACACTTTTAGCTAGGAGCTGCAACAGTGAAGCTTCCTCACCCCACACATGCTGTAGTTATTAATGGCTTGTCCTCTCACGTGGGACGCTGTGCACTAAAATGCATTCTTGGGGGTGCTGAAGTGAATGTTCATTTGGGTCACTAGTAATGTAAGTTTAGTTTGCTTAGCCTGGCCCCGAGGGGAGTCCACATTTCCCTTTTATTTTTCCATCATCCTAAAAAAAGATGAAACAATACTGAGCAGTTACATAACACCACTCATCTCCCAGAGCTCCAGGAACAATTGCACTGCGCTCTCTGTACAGGCAGGGTAGAGAAATGGCTGAGGAAAGGAAGACCAAGCCTTTCAGAGGGGGACAGGGCTCGGAGAGGCACAACCAGGAGTGGGTTTGGCAGGACTGAGAGGTCTAAGATGTGGATCTCAGGGAAGAGAGATTCCCCCTGTGGCCTCCTGCATGGCTCTGAGTGGCTCTGCAGGCGAGGACTGGATGCCAGCAGCTGTGCACAGTGATCCATCTGGTGGGGTCATGAACACAGAGGGGACTTAATGCAGCTCTGAGCGGCACAACAAATCCCTCTTTTGTGTGCTCTTTTCATTTGGGCTCTGTAAGGAGAACATGGCACTCCTGCAGGCTGTTCCCTGGCCTCTCCAGCAGCAGACACTGCTGCTCTGGGGGAGGTGGTGCTAAGACATTCTCCAGGCACTGCCCTTCACCTCCTGTTAGGGAGCAAAGCAAAGTCAGAGCACTCCCAGGGGTATGTGCACCAAAAATCTGACTCTTCTGAGACCTATCCCAGAATCACTGAGGCTGGAAAAGGCCTCAGGGGTCAGTAAGTCCGACCTGTGACAGGTCACCACTTTGCCAATTGAACCAGAGCACAGAGTGCCTCATCCGGTTGCTTCTTGAAGACCTTTGAGGATGGTGACTCCACCACCTCCCTGGGCAGCTCGTTCCAGTGCTTGACAACCTTTTCTGTGAAGAAATTCTTCTTCCTGCCCAGCGTTAGTGGAGCTGGTGCTGAGGTCAAACGAGGAGAGTGTTCAGTGGCATGTGACAGTGGCACCGAGCCGTGGGGAGGGACGAGCTGCCTTGCTGGCATCTGGTCCAGCCATTTAGCAAGATGCCATGAGCAACAGTGGAATTTGGCAGGGGTGGGATTGGGATGTTGGGTGGCAGGAAGCCTCAGGAATAACGAGGCTGATCCCCTGCAGGACAGGGAAATGGGGAGATGAAGCTCTGACAGCATCTCCCTGCCTTTGGTTCAGCTTTAGCCACGCCACTGTGTGACCACCAGCCTCACTCCACAGACACAAACGTCCAAAAAAATGAAATAGAAAAGGTCTTTATAGTAATCTAGCCTATGACTTATTAAAATCAAAATCAAAATGGTTCCAAAACCATTCTGCCGTGACTTTTGCTATATACAGCACCACTAAATATTTTTTTTTTAGTCTTCTCACAGGTTCTGTATTGTTTGGGTTTTGGTTGCTTTGTTTGTAGTTTGTTGGGGATTTTTGTTTGTTTGTTTGTTTGTTTTTTACTCTCTTTCTGTATGCATTAACTAGTCCCCAGTTCTCCAGGTAAGCTTGTTAAAGTTCTGCTTCTCTGGCCTAAATTTGTGACCTCAGGGTGCTGACACTCTACAGTGGACCTGGGTCATGCCACCTGGCATCAGTATGTCAGCTCATTACACGGAATTCCTCCAGTAACTCTGTGGGCCAATTGACCAGAACATACTTCATATTTGTATGATGAAATAGTGTGAAAAATGTAGTTATAGTATCCATTGAAATAATATGAAATAAAAAATGTTATGTTAATTGGAATAGGAAAAAAATAAAGCTGGTAATGATATGTCTAAAGAATTAATTGGAATTGGAAATTTTGAAGAGAAATACCAACTTGTTTGAAGAAAAAGAAGGCTTCAAAGTGACAGAAAGTAGGTTTAGATTGGATTTTAGGCAGATTTTTTTTCCCTGTGAGGGTGGTGAGACCCTGGCACAGGTTGCTCAGAGAAGCTGTGGATGCCCCAGAAATCACCTGATCTAATAGTAAAATGATTGTCCTTCCTAGATGACAACAAAGTGTTTTCATAGAGCTTGGGCTTCCTAGCACACAGTCTTTATGGTTACTGTGGAATTAATAATTTTACAGATAGAATTTAGAATTTACCAAAAGTCATCTGCAAGTTGTCTTCTGTATAAATAATTCACAATCATGGAGGATGTTTCCAAATAATTCCGTTTTAACACTTGATTGACAGGAAGAAGATAAAAAAGAAAGATCTATATTTTATTTCTGTGCTTCAACTGGTGTGCCATGGAGATTGTCATTTGCAATATTCTGAAAAACAGCTGTGGTTGTCTTAAAATTGACACTGGAAAAAATGTTGCTGGAGAATCACCTTGGATGAAAACAGGTAATAATTTCCCTCTCAAGACAGTGGTTACTCTGACTTTCTGACAAAGCCAGTTTTGGACATAAATATTGAAATACAAGGTCTCTTCTCTCAAATCCCATGTCCAATACCAGGGCTTGCTTTGCTCTCTTCACTTAGTAGAGATTGGTTACATTATACCATACTTAATTCTCTCAAACAAGTTCAACACATTAAAATTCTCCCTTTCCCTGCTCCCTCCTTAATTATAGGTAGAAATGCCTGTGATTGGAAAAGTGAAGAATTATTTGAATTATTTAAGCAACATAACCTTATAATTTTTTCTGTCTTGTTTAAAATGATTTGAAAATCGAATGGGGTGTGATTGAATATGATTCATTTAACATGAATTTGCAGAGCAAATTGTATGAGTTTCTCAGTTCAGAAAACAGTCATTTTCAAGGCAGTGCTGCGCAAGGGGGCTGTTTAAAGGAAGGCTATTATGAAAATACATGGTGTTTTATTGTGCAAGAGAATGGTGCAAAGAAGCAGGGAGTCTGGGGGGTGACAGAACTTGCTTTGGGAAGAAATGCCCCATAGCTTAAGCTTAGCCTCTGTGCTTTGAAGGAGAAAGTGTTCCTTGAGCCACAGAGGAAGCAAAGGGAAGTGCAGGAATCTGCAGCTGAACTATCAGAGCATTTCCTGCAGGTCTGGCTGAGTAAATTCCAGTAAACAAAAAAATCTGGGTCAGATTCCCCTTTCCCACTCCTAGAGTATCTCCATCTCAGTGATACAGAGGAGCAGAGCCTGAGAAGTGCAGAATTCTGGAGCACGAGAGAGAAATCTCTTTGGGAGGCTTGGAAACGCTGGGCACTTCAAAATAGCATTTGCACTGCTTCTTGCTAGTGGAAAACGGGGTAGCTCTGTTCTTAAAAAGGAAGCTGGATATTCCACTGAGGGGGAGAATACAAATTCTCATAGACATCCTGACTGCATCTATATTAGAAAACGAAATGTGCCCAGGACCATTCCCTGGCACTGAGGCCAGCTGGCAGGAGACAGGCTGGGCTCCTGCTGCCAGAGGCTCGCTCTGAAACAAGGTGTTGGGCACTCAGCCTGCTGGGCTCCCTTCCTGGCCTCTGCTCATGCCCAGGAAGTATTTTGGGAGAAAGTGCTTGGGTGCAGACTTACCAGCGTGACCAGGAGCCTTGAAGTGTATCTGATTGTGATTAATTGCTTGGGAACACTCCCTCAAACTCTGGAGGTGGCAAGTGTAGATACAACCCTGCTTTGATGCCTCTTGCCCTCGGGTAATTTTTGGGATATCTTAAAAGCTTTACACATTTTCCCCCCCCAACCCCACCCCCCACCCAGTTGGCTCATTCTTAAACAATAATCAGTCTCTATTCACTGAGAACAATTATTCCTGCCAAAATCTGTTCTCATCTAATTCTGCTCCCACCTGCACTCATCTATATGCAACTCTAACTAAAAATCACCACACTCTTCCAGCTGCATGAAGAGGAGCACAAGTGGATGCGACAGTGGGAGTGGGATACTGTTGCTTTGGTTTTTGGCTGATTTTCCTCTTTGCCTGGCCCTAGTGCAGGCTGTATCTTGTGTTTCAGTCACTGCATCTTCTAACTCTGCTTAGAATTCCAGTTGAGGCCCTGGTGGCTGTGCATATCCTCTGGTCTTGCTGTCCAGCAGGATGCACCACGAAATGACTGGAATTAAAAAAATAAATAAATAAACAAGCAAACAAAAATAAAAAAAAGGAAGGGGTGGGACACTGCATTCTAGTGCTGAAGGAAGCAAGGACCACCCACACAGACAGAAAGTGGGCCAGGACTACCATTCTTCTGTGGCTTCAAGGTGAGCCTACATGCCAGTTCCATCCCCAGGGAATGGAACATGAGTTAAATTCAGTCAGAGGGAGAAGAAAAAGTAAACTTCCTACTTGCTTCTACTAAAGTAGAAGTAAACTTCCATTTAAAATCTTTCCTGTATCCATGGGTCTTGACAGCTCTAAATACAGTAGTTTAAGATGTCAGTGTTGTCAACCACCCTAAGAAGATGGTGAGAAGTAAATCACTCTGAAGTGACCGCTAAGGACAAGTGAACCTACTGATGTGATTTTTCTTTCAGCAGATGAGTGGGCACATGGTTGTGGGTGGACACATGTGAGTGTCATATAGAAAAGACCAGCAGAATGTGGAGGCTGGAATGATGGGGTACCCCACCTGGGAAAAAGTGATGGAACTTTTTGTGCCAGGGTATCACTCCTTGAGATTTGTTTCATCAAGTAAGGCTGAAAACTCTGTTTATTGTATTGATGTGTTAATATTTAGAGACAGAACACATAGTGAAAATGCACATGTAGAAAACATGAAGATTTGCAAGAAAGCAAAAGTGCAATTCAGGTGCCAAACACATCCTGGAGGTGAGCAGATGCGATCATCATCAGAACCAGTAAAGGGAGGAGGGCTTTCTAATTATTTCCCAGAGGGAGAGTTGTAAAGTCATTTTTGCAGCATTCATAGAATTGTATGTTTAAAATATCTCAGAAGCACGCCATGCACTCTGTTCACTCTGTTGCTGCAGATTAGTCCTGCTGAAGGCAGCTGGATTCCATTCCAGGAATCCTGCTCAGATCCACTTGAGTTCTGCAGTCACATCCTTTGTTTTCCTTGACCCCTGACAGCCCAAATTAAACTAAGATCTCTCTTGGCAGTGAAGGAATGCTGCCAGCATGTGCTGTGGGCACAATGTGGGAACAAAATCACTTCTTGCCTGGCCTCAGCATGGCCAAATGGCAGCATGGCACATCCTGGCTGCACTCGTCCCTCTGGCAGGGCAGGTGACGCTGGGGAGGGGCGTGAAGGGTCCGAATTTGGAAGAGAAAATAATCAGACTGATGACTGGAACAAAATGCTCAAGCCAAAATGCTTTCTCCCTAGGGAAGCTCTCCCACAGCCAGATGCAGTGTTGTTTAGCTGTCTGGATTTCATTCCAGGACTGCACGTGGCTCTTGAGGTTCTGCCTGAGACTTTTTTTGTCTGCCGTTGGGTAGCAAACCCAAACAAATAGGAAGTCAGACTTGAACAGGAATATCACATATCATCCACTTCTCATCTCAGTAAAACCCATCCCTATTCCCTTGTCTGATTTTCTAATTGAATCATCATGGCTGTAAAATCACCCTGTAAAGTTTCCTCCTCTCATTTGCAGAGAGAACCCAGAGGCAGGAGCCAGTGTGACATATTTGGAATTTGTTTTCCTTTTTAGAAGTGGCTAGCATTTTAGGTAATTTTTTTCCCAGGCTAATGTACATCTGATGTCAGGCTCCCCAGATGAGAATGGTTAGACTGAAGCTGACATTTTTAGAAATATGTGTGAATGGAAAAATATCCTGGGAGCAGTGCCAATGGCTGATTTTGTAAAGTCTTAGTCTTTGTGGGATAGGAACCACGAGCCAGGTACCTGTACTGAAAAGAAACCTTGCTTATAAAATGTCTTGCTCAGGTGAGTGCGAGAAATGCCTTCTCAATTGAAAGAGAGAGCAGGAGTGAATTTCAGCAGGCTGTGACTCAGCCAGGCAATATTCAATTTCTCTTTCTGATCAGATGACAAACAGCCAGTAGCATCTTTCCCAAAGGGAGGTACAGAGACAGGAGAAGTTCCTGGTGAAAAATGGATTTTCCAAGGTTGACCTGTGAAGCGGTGGAGACAAATCTGCCTGACCTGTGGCTGTTCCTTCCAGTTTGCTACTGACACGACTGGGACAAGGCAGCTTAGAGCTGAGCTGGTTTGCAGCCAGCCAAAACCTGCAGCTTTTCTAATTCCCAGCGAGCTGGTGGAATTTGGAGGATGAGTGCAGCTGATTCCCGGTGTTGTGAGTGTCAGCAATTTCCACAGGCTTTGAGGGGGGCTGGTTTTTGCTGCCTCATCAGAGCAAATGCCTTGCTGGCAGCTGGCAGGCTGAGCAGGGGGTGGCACAGGGCTGAGGCAGCGCAGGGTGGGCACTGAGGGTGCAGCATCTTGGGATGCTGCCTGGGATGCTCCCTGGGAACAGACAGCTCCATCTCCAGCCAGGACAGTGGCAGGGTGCTTTTGTGCACACCATCCTTCTCCCATCCTGTCCTGGTTTAGGGCAAATCTGGGAGGAAATGTCCAAAGAGGTTCCTCTAGAAAGCAGATTCAAGCGGCCCAACCGGTTCGGGAAAAGATTTCCTTGGAGAAAAGTGGGAAAAAGCTGTTTATTTAACAGGCAAAGCACTCACCAGCACAAAAGAAAAATGAACACTATTAAACAATAAAACCTCAAAAAAACCTCAGAAAGTCCCCTTTATGTCTCTGATCAGTCCCTGCAGGGCTGGAAATGCCACGGCCCAGACCCGGCCCCATGGGCCACAGGTGCGAGCTGCTGCTGCTCTGCTGGTGTTCAGTCCAGAGCAGGTTTGAACAGGCCCAAGAAAAAGAAAATCCACAGCCCAGGGAGCTTCTCTGCCTCAGCCACCTAAAAACTGACTAAAAGCAAAGGAGAGCCCAGTCCTGCTGTCTGTCTGTGCTGCAGACAGCACAGTCCAGGAGCAGAATGTGCAGGAGTGAGTGCAGTCCCTAAAAACAAACTGCAGCTTCTTCTCTGCCCTTTTGCTCTAAGAACCAGTCTGAAAGGTGTGAAACTTATTTCTGGGCTAAACATACAAATGGGAATACAAGCATCATGAAGTCACCCCAGGACACATCCCTCTCTCTCTTCTGCAGGCTCTGCCTCATCATCACCTCCCTGTTTTCCAGGCTGAGTGGATGGGGCTGTGCCTGGTGCTCCTCACTGAACAGTCATCTTCAACATATCTATCAACCACCTGGATGCAGGAGTAGAAGGCACCCTTCAGCAGGGTTGCTGGTGATGCCAATATATGCCATGGAGTGCATGTTTAGGTACAGCTATTTTAACACACGGTTGGCTCTGTGGAGCACTGCAGAAATAGGTTTATATCACCTCTGCAGACAGCAGTGGGCTGAGCTGCTTTCAGACT